GGTAGACGGGGCTTGGCGGCTTTGCGGGGCCACCGGCTGCAGCGGGGACTCCTGCTGGGTGCCGCTCCGCACGCAGCCGGTCAAGTGTGCGGACTCGGTGGGCTTACGTGCGCTGGTAAAAAATTCCTTTCAACCCAAAACTGATTCTTTTGTTTTGTTTTGTTTTTAAAATTTTCTCTAGACATGAAACTCGGTAAAAAAGTTAATGAAGGTAAAACGAAAGAAGTGTACGAGCTGCCAGATATGCCGGGATGTGTTCTCATGCAGTCAAAAGACCAAATAACGGCGGGAAATGCAGCCAGGAAGGACCGGATGGAAGGGAAGGCTGCTATTTCCAATACAACAACTAGCTGTGTGTTTCAGTTGCTTCAAGAAGCTGGTAAGTATTTCCAAGGTAGAATACATGCCTGCGTATTACAGATATGGTTACAAACCCAGTTGTTTTATATATTGATTTATTCTCCCTTGAGGCTCTGATGTTTTTTTCCGAGGGTGTTTTCTATTAGTTTGTAGTTAGACTTTTCTCTCTGGTACCGCAGAGCTGGGTGGGCGACTTGTTCATTTGGAATGTGAGACTATCTGAAGTAATTTTCCTACCGCAGATAACGCTGCGATAGTTTCTCCTGCTTGTTCGGACACACCCCTCGTCCTCCCCTCTACTTTTGTCAGTTCTTCCCCACCCCCCTGGCCGCACTAGGCGCATCTCGGCTTTCTTACTACATCTGCCTGCACAGAAGTCGCTGCTAGCTAGTGGCACGACCAGACTAAGCCGTGTGAAATTTGTGTATGAGTGTTAAAATTAGAGTATCTTGTCATTTTTTTTCTTTTCCCATCTCAGTTGTGTGTTTCATATCAACATAAAGTTTCTCTACGCTTTGTACTTAAACACTTACAGGAACTGTATCCCAATGCACGTTTTGGTCTGTATTGAATGTATGAGGAACTTAACATTTACTTTAGAAGACTCAAAATATTTCAGAAGCTGGAAGCTAGCTTTCGTGGAGTACGTAACTTGACTCACTCTTAAGTTTTGCACCATACTTTCAAAAATGGAGCCAGAATCTTTGCTTTAAGAAAGTGTTTCAAAGTGTCTGTGACTGAAGTGTGCAAGTAGAAAGAGGAATTTGCACTGGTGGGTTTCTGACTTGAGTCTGCAAATATTACTGTAGTTACAGGCACCAAGTAAACTTGGTTAAGACCACTTAGAGCTGTGTGCTCAGCGCACTTTGAAGCGTTTGCACAAAAATTGCTTCGAGTACCAACTGAGCTACTCTAAAAGTTTTATTATCTGTTATAAGGTGTAGTAATAGTTCTCAGTCAGTCAAACAGTGAAGTCCTAATATGTTGCATAAATGGGAAAGAGAAAGATGGTTTCTGTAGAGTTGCATGTACGTATATTTCTGTGCAAGTAGTTCTTAAAATACGGGCTGAGACAAAGATATGTCAAATCATTCAGTATAATCCTCAGTCACACTGACTTTCTTGGGAAGCCTGTTGTGCATACAGTACAAAGAAGCCTCCAAGGTCTTTCAGATTATATTTGCAGTTGATTAAAACTACCAGTTTCCATTTAGGAACAATTCATGAGATGTTTTGCCACTTAGGAATCAGGCAGTAGAATGTTTAATATCCTACAATTATGAACTTTAGCTGTAAAGAAGCCATGCTGTAGACCTCTGGTACCTTCAAGTTCTGTGGAAAAATATGCAGAGTAAACTGCAGCTGCATTTTAAAGCAACAAAAGAACTTTTAAGGGTTCTTCTCCAGTTTGCTTATCTGACTGGCATAAATTGCAGATAATGTGAATGCCTTATCGTAGAAGTAGTTTGCTTTGCGCAGCCTTTCTTAACCTGCTATTTCAAAGGTGATGATTTACAAAGTTCTGTTAAAGTTTCTCTCCCTTTTATAGTAGAGCTAATGTCAGCTCTTCAAAAGCGTGCATCTGCACTGATGAGAAATGTAGTAGTAAAACCATGTGGGGGCCTTAATACCTGGACTTAGAAAGGACTTAATGTGCAGTTGGTTATTTAAGTCATTCTGCCCTTGAGGGCAATGCAACAAAATCTGAAGGGTCAATGTTAATACTGTATTTTAAGACTTTTAATTCTTCCTTTCTGGCTCTGGAAGTGGAATGGAATTGAGCTACTTCTTGGATTGACTGGATGCAGCTCCTTTGTCTTCTGTCTCTGGTGGATGCCAGTTGGGCTTGGCTGTTGTCTTGCCCTGGGGGGAGGAAGGTCAGACTTTCCTCAAGAGTTAAATTTGAAAAAGGAGCCATTCTGCACTTCCTACCCGCACATGTTGGCTGTCCCTATTTGATATGGGGTCATCTTAGCATGATGTAAGAAGTTTGACTTGCTGCAGCAGGTTTGTGTGTGTGCCTACACCTCTGAGCCTTGAAGTCTTTTGCCTAACAAATTACTAAGATCTAGTGCCCCAAATAAATGTTAGTTTGTAAAGAAAGGGAAGACTGTGTCAGTCTTGTCCCTGCCCCATGCTCCCTCATTAAACAAAGTAGTAAAGACCACTCCTTTGAAAGCCTCCAGTTACTGTTCCATGTATAATGGATCTTCTACCAGAGAGCATGGTTGGGTACTTGGTTGCTGCTAACTTCAGTTTAAAAACAAACCATTGTGAGGGATGTGGATTTTTTTAAAAGCTCTCTGAACAAAATTATTTGCACGAATAGAATTTCTGACTAGAGCATAAGGTTCTGAGCTACAAATGAGTGTTGTATGACAAAATTTGCAAAACTAATGACTTGTGGAAGATAATGGCATTGATTACCTTTTGCAAGGCCAGAGTGGGCTTAACATACCGTTAACAGATTCGATGTGTTGCTTAAGTCCAGAGAACAAGATTCAGTTGTACTTGAAAATAAAAGATGTTTGTGACTCTTGTTTCAACTATGGAGTGTGCCCAGTAATGGAACTAAGCTGCCATCTTTATATTTAGGAATCAAAACAGCTTTTGTCAGGAAACAGAGTGACACAGCATTCATAGCAGCTCATTGTGAAATGATCCCAATTGAATGGGTGTGCAGAAGAATTGCTACTGGCTCCTTCCTCAAAAGAAACCCTGGTGTCAAAGAAGGATATAAGTTTTACCCACCCAAAATTGAGATGTTTTACAAGGTAAGTTTCCTTTCCTGTGCTGTTAATCAAGCTTAAGCAGAGCTAGAACTCTGTATTATCTCCTTTAAAGTACTGACAAATAAAGCAAGTAGTGCTAGTGGCTGACCAATCCTCTTAGTTGGTAATTTTGCCGTTCTAATATTTTCCTGCCACCTTGTCCAGCAGCTGCTTTGTCTAAAGTGCACATAACGTACTACTGGCTTACAGGAACATCAAAGAATAACAAGCCGAAATGTACATAAAATAGAAAAATGTTTTATTTGTAAGGTATAAAGACTTTTTAAGCATAAGCCTAATGCATCAGTTGAAACGGATGTGTTGATATATTTGAAGAAATCAAAACAAACAATACTTGCGAGGTGAGGGTAGGTAGCTAGCTAGTCACATAGGATTCTGAACTTCTTTGGGAACGCGTGCTGGAAGAAAGGTCTTGTGAACTACAACCTGAAGTGTTGTTTGTAGTGTACCCTGTCGCTCTTGGGGTGCTGTCCAAACTTGAAGTGCTTTTAAAGACGTTCAGGTGTTACAGCAAGTTTTTTTTCAATGTTGCTGTCACTTTATTGATAATCATAAAATACTGGTTTGAAGCCTGTGTTTGTTTTTTTTAAAAACACACAAAACCTAGTATTGTCTTCTAATTTTTTTTTCCTCTTACAATAAGCTTAAATTACATGATGTGTATGTTTTGTTTTCTTAACAGGATGATGCTAATAATGATCCACAGTGGTCTGAGGAGCAGCTAATTGAAGCAAAATTCTGTTTTGCTGGACTTACTATAGGCCAGACTGAAGTGGATATTATGGCTCGTTCTACTCAAGCTATTTTTGAGATCCTGGAAAAATCATGGCAGCCCCAAAACTGCACTCTGGTAGACCTGAAGGTATAAGAATCTGATTCCTCATGATCCTGGTTCTGCCAGGGAGTACATCACTGTATGGTTCCTAAAATAGGATTCGTATTGTCTTTCTAGATTGAATTTGGTGTTAATATTCTGACAAAAGAAATTGTTCTTGCTGACGTTATTGATAATGATTCATGGAGACTGTGGCCATCAGGAGACAGAAGCCAGCAGAAGGACAAACAGGTAGTGTTTCAATCTTTACCTTCTAAATCAATTGTGAAGGAGAATGAAAAAAAAAAAAAAGAGTAAACCCTACAGTTAAACATCTGCTTTCAGAGTGACTTTTTTGTAGATGGTCTTATCTTGTTCCAGAGTGGCTCAAAGGGTGCCTAATGTCCAGTTCTGTTCTCGCTTTATGGTAGAAAAAAAAAAAAATCCCCCGCCTTTATCTTCAGTAGGAATGCCCAACAGCAGTGATGACTGGAGCTATTGTAATGAAGCATAGTGTTTCCAGGGGTAATAAGAATTTCTGACATGTTGTGAGGCTAATTAAATAGATGGGAAACAAATTGGTAGGAAGAACAGAAGTTTTGGTTTCCAGGTTTGCCTCCAAGTTTCTCTTTTTAGGTGATACATAAGAGGGATCTGCAGAGAGGATGCTTTTCTTCATTATTTTGGTTATGCTTGAATTCAATGTTGAGTTGTCTCTAAGTGTTACTAACAGACTGTGTCCACATGCAGACTGCAAACATAAGTTTGAAATAAAACTTGTCCTATATTTAAACTTGTAGCAATTACTCTTGTCAAATATCTCTGAAATACCAGATAAGTAGTTATGAAAGAACCAGCTTGGGAACACTGCTGCCATGGAGCTTGTGTGACAGTCATTGAGACTGGTAACAGAGACCCTGTGAGAGAGAGTGGCTGTAAGCCACAGTGGAAGAATTCAAAGTGTGTATGTGGGGAGGAGGGGTATTACTTTTAAATTAGGAAGCTGGATCGCTCTATTGTTTACTTTACCTGAATGATGTAGTAGCATGCTTGAGTAAATTGCCCTGATGGTGCTTTTGCTTCTCCCTAAAATAAGGTGCATCACAACATCGTGCAGAACCTAGGTTGGCTAGTGCAGTGCTACTGCAGGCAATCATGGCATTAAAAATCCAACCTTTAAAGAAGTTGGATGTCTTTCCCAAAACTTACCCTTTGGGAAGCTTCCAAAACCTTGATACCCTCATGGCTAAAAGCTTTTCATGTTGCAAATGGCCATGAATTGTAATGTAGAATGTTGTTTATACCTACTGAGATGGTTCTTTGTTAAATAGCTCCTCCTTGCTTCCACATCCACTCTCCCCTATATCTGCACCAATCTCTGTTCTTCTATCTGTGGAATTGATAGAAACTGCATGAATATTTCAGCTGGGGTGTTCTTATCAATTATGATGGCAAAAGGAGTGCTTTGTGTACCCAGAAAACATTAACTTCAGTTTTTGATTGGTTTGGTTTTTTTTTTCTCTCCTCTTTTCAGTCCTACCGGGACCTGAAAGAAGTGACTCCTGAAGCACTGCAGATGGTTAAGAGAAACTTTGAGTGGGTTGCAGAAAGAGTGGAGGTATCTGTTTTTATGAGCGACATATCTAGACTTCGATAACTGCATGTCTTCAATCGTGTTGACTGCTTTTCTTTCCTTTGCCCCCTCTTCCCTCCTTTCCGTAGCTGCTTCTGAAAACAAAGAGCCAAGGTAGAGTTGTGGTGTTGATGGGATCTCCTTCTGACCTCAGTCACTGTGAAAAAATAAAAAAGGCATGTGCAGCCTTTGGAATTCCTTGTGAGTTAAGAGTGACCTCTGCTCACAAAGGGCCAGACGAAACCCTGAGGATCAAAGCAGAATATGAAGGTAAATGCCAAAGAACTACTGATTTGGGTTGAAACAGTATCATGTGGAAGAATGAGTTGGCAACTTAGGGTTTGTTTCCATTTTTTGTTAAACAGAACACCACGCTGTTACAAGGCTGTTCTGTACTTGCTAATTACATAATGACAGGTTATAGACCGCACTATGCAATTATGGAGTAATGTATTGTCCTACTGCCCAGCCACAACTTCCAGTACTCAAAGTCTAACCTCTGCTTTTATCCCAGTACCAGAACTGCTTTGCCCAAGCCTTGATCATGTTAATTCAGTTACTGTAGCATCCTGCTGGTGATGCCAGCCCTTCTGATATGAGGAGTGATAGTTTCTCTAGCTGACTCTGAATACTCTTATATATTATTTACAAGGCAGATGTTGCTGACATAATGTTTTCCTGCCTGTTTCATGAAAACATTCTTGCTTTTTAGATCCCATGATAAAAAGATACTTGTTTTAAATTCTTATCTTTACCCAGAAAACTTGACATCACTTCAAAAGTGTTTATATCCTAGCAGAGGAGAGATAAGAACTATTTATTTTTGTGCAAGTATACTTTCTACTGGTGAAACTACAGATGCTGTAATCATAGTTGAGAAACACTTATTTTGATGTGAACTGTCTAAGATTTAAGGAGAGGAACACTTAAAGATGCCAGAGGTTTAATGGCCATGTTCTCTGCAAAGCTAAGGAGCACCTATTCCTCTGATACTGAGACTTTCTGTCGGAGGCAAAGACAGACATGTTAACTTCAGTTGTGTAAACAGTAGCTGGGACTTGAGGCTGCAAGATCTAGAAGATACTTTTGTGAATGGGGAAGCTAGACAGAAAATTCTAGTGCTGTGTAATGGAATTGACAAAATAACAGCAAACGGAATTGCGGACTTGGATAAAGTTCCCACAAAAGCAAGTGGTAGGGAATTAGGTGGATTGCTTAGTTCTGAATGTCTTCTTTCCCACCAGGAGATGGAATCCCAACAGTGTTTGTTGCAGTAGCTGGCAGAAGCAATGGTTTGGGACCGGTAATGTCTGGTAACACTGCTTACCCAGTTGTCAACTGTCCTCCACTCTCAGCTGACTGGGGTACTCAGGATGTGTGGTCTTCTCTCAGACTACCCAGCGGTAAGATGATCTTCAACTTACACTCTTGTTCTGACCTAGCTCTATTTTTGTTGTCCTAGTGTATGTATGTATACGAACACACACAGAGCAAAACACTAGAAAAGTGGAAAAAGTACTGGATCAGTACTGAACAAAGTCTTTACAAATATCTTGTGTACAGTCTTTGACTTCTTGATGGCAAGAAGCCCAGTAGACAGAGCAAAGATTACATAGGAATAGTCTTCAGAAAAATATAAACCTTGGCTTATCCTGGCTAAATATTTAGTTTGAAATTGGAACTAGTATTAATGGAGATTTAAATAATTGGATTTTGTTCAGTTAGAGCTATATTTTCCTTATGATCAAAGGTGAAAAAATACCTACACTGACAGTGGAGAAAGGTAAGAGCTTAACTGTTACGTCAGTTCATTGCTGCCTGTATGCTTCTTAACTTTGCTAGGGACTCAAAGGGATGCTGGGCAAGTAGGAGACCCAGAAGTCTCTTATCTCTATATAAGGAGAGTCATTTGGTATGCTGGCTTTTGGCTTAAAATGGCATGAAGCAGTTAAAGTAGTGGAACACATGACACTTCAGTAGCAGCTTTAAAACTAGATCATGTGGTTCCTGGAGGCTGAAACAAACATTGTTTTAAATTTTCCTTCAGAGGCAGTGTTTTGTTTGACTCTCAAACATGCTTTGGTAAGTGGCATTCTCTTCTCTGCAGGTCTTGGCTGTCCTACTACTCTGTCACCTGAAGGAGCTGCCCAGTTTGCTGCCCAGATATTTGGGTTAAACAACCATTTGGTGTGGGCAAAACTGCGATCAAACATGTTAAACACCTGGATCTCCTTGAAGCAGGCTGACAAAAAACTTCGAGATTGCACCTTGTAAGTCATACTAATGAGTAACTTTTGTTACTTATGCAAAGATAATGGCGTGCGTAGTCATTCGTATTGGGATTTATATTTGGATGAGCTCAAAAGTCCTGCATCCTTTTTTACAGAAGAAAGCATTGTTAGAGCAGCAGATGAAGTCTGTGTTCTCATCGTTCCCTTGTGTATTTTTTTTTTTAATATAACAACTTAGTAAAAGATAGGGAAGTAGTATTTTAGGTATCTCTTTCTGTTGCTCCAAAATGGTGCTGCTCTGCTTTTTAGTGTATACTGTTAACTACAGACTCTGGCAAGAGAATGATTTGCTGTGATCTAAGTAGAATTCAACTAGTCTTCTGTATTTCTGTAACACTAATATTCTTCCATAGTAATAATGTATGTCTTGAACCTTACTAACTCACCTGGACTGCTAACTAAGCCAGTGCTGATGCTGTTCTGTTTGTAATGATGGTATGCTTTCTTTAGCAATAAAATGGCGGCATATGCTGTGTTAATACAAAAAGGGGCTGGAAAAATGTTTTAAGAGCCTGAAATAAATAGTTGCCTTATTTTAAAAATGTATATGCATACATGTGCATTGTTTTTTTCTGTATGTGTGTGTATACATTCTCCATTGGTATCTTCTGGAATGATGTGATAAAAAGTTGACACCAATTCTCTAGTTCATAACAAGCTATAAATACAAATGGTTTGAGTGAACTGTAGCTAGGCTTGTTGCCAGTTTGCTGTAACTCTTGCCTAGCCCAGTCTTTGCCCTTTTAAATACTAGGCAGATCTCTACCTTCAGTAGTTCTAAAGGGCGTATGTGATGTTGTCAAACTGTCTTCATACACTTCAATAGCTCTAGAGATTAGATATCTGTATTTCCTCACTCTGTTTCTGTGGCAATTTTACTGAACTGAAGGGGGGAATAAATAGTAAAGCAACAAACTACTGGGGGGAAACGTAAGCATGACTGTCATGTCTTTGCACACACCAGTCTTCTGAGTAGGTACGATTCTAACAAATATGCAATTACTCAATGTATGTAACATTTATGCTTTTACAATTATAAATAAACTATTGAATTCAAAGCTGCTTCATGGAGATTTTTTAAATACATACACTCAAAACCAAGCCATCAGCTGTGGTACGTGACTTCAGCACCTTAAATTAGGTAATAATCTTGCAAAAAGCTTATGCACTAAAACTTGCATGGAATGATGAGAGTCTTCTGGAAGATACTCTACTACCTGTTTAAGTGTCTCAAAGGAAGCTGTGTTGCTTTGTCCCTCGTGTACTGCTTTACAATTGTGTGGTATGTCAGGCTTATCCCTTAATCCAGTTACTCACACTAAATGCTGCTGCTGGCCTTCTCATTTGCAGGAGGGGACCACGTTTTATGTACAGAAGCACTCTCTGCTGGAGTTAAGTGCAGGGGTTTAAAAAAAAAAAAGGCAAAATAACTAGAACAATTTCTGTTGGTCTTTAGGGTGGTTGCTTTTCTAATTAATTTCTAAATGAAATATCAATAACAGTGAGGGCTAGTGGTGACAAAGAGGTTGAAAGTCCTTGGTTGTATGCTGTGTCTGTGTAAGCATTGACTTTAAAGTGAAGATCCTCCAGGCAGCTGGGTTTTTTTTTTTTTTAGCAAGCAAGCTCTTTACCAAGGCTGTACTCACCTGCAGACTTACACTAGCACATCTGAAAGTGTGCTGTGAGCTAGCGCTCCTAACAAAATAGTGGTATGGACTTCAACTAGCAGAAAAATTAATGGGCAAAAAGAGGAGTGCATGCTCTTTGTTTGCTTGGGTGAGTGAATTGGATCATGTTGTAATCAGAAGAGAAACAGCCAACAACTGCAAAGGAGAGTGCAGTACTCCTTTCTCCTGGTGGCAGCAGCCAACTAGCTCAGCTGTGTAACAATATGTATAACAATACATAACCTGAGGGTGAGGTTACACAAGAGGTGAAGATGTCAATCCCTATTCCTCGCTATGCTGGGTGTTACCTCTGAGTGATCAATCTGACAAGCTTATTAGTCACCTGACTGCCCCAGCACCATGCCATTTGTGCCTCCTTTTCCACCCACATTGCTGTGTTGTAGTGCTACCTCTGTAGTCTTCCCACACATAAGAAAATTAGTAACAGACAATGGTTTATGTGTTACTCCTGGAATATTCTGTACTGTTTCTAGCTACTTTTCTCAAATTACTGTACTCTGATAATACTAACTGCATTTGTAAAATTGTGCTCATTTACATTTGGCATGAGCATGCTAAGTGCTTTAGTTGCCATAGAGATGGTCATTCTTCAGCTTTTGGATGGGGTGGGCCGTTCAGAGGTTTTTTTGTGCAGTGTGTACTGAACTCTCAGAAGCAAACCCTTGCTTGAGCAGTTGCCTTGCAAAGAAGTACTAAGATGCAGGAGCTAGCATGAGCAGTGTGTTGCTGTGATTAGCAGACAGAACCTGCAAAGTCTATTGTATCTGCAAGGACTTTTCATAGAGTTGTCCTAAAAGTTGAAGAGTTGCATTTTAGTTGTTTAGCTGGAAGTTCTTCATTTGCTATGAATTGAACCCATTGGTTCAGCATTCCGACTATTACATTGATGCAATAACCTGAGAATTTCTTCAGCCAGAAATTACTCTCGTAGCACTTGCTTTTTTTTGTCCAATTTTAAAAACTATTCCTACAAATTCTTAAATAAAAAGTGCTTTTATCTAGACAAAAACTACTTGCATTTTTTAAATTGAGTTTGAATACCTGTAATGAAAATCTAATTTTTAAGCACCTCCTGTGGAACCTGGGATCCTGGATTAGATCATGTCCTAATTAGCAGAGTTACCTGCTTAGCAGTGTACGTTCTTTAAAGATATCAGCAAGGAGCTGTTTAGACTTAGCAGAGGGAAGTGCTGAGGGCAGGACTTGTTTTACATCCTACACTGCTTCAGGTACAGGCGAGTGGCAGGCTCCCACTGATCTTTCCTCGATCCACTGTTCAAGGGTTGAAGCATCTATCCAGGACACTGAAGGCACAGTTTTAATAACCTTTGCTTGGGGTGAGTTGTAGAAAGTGAATCGAAGGCCTAGGAGAGGATGTGACTTTTAGACTTCTTGGGGATGGCATTAAGGCACTCCCTGGTTTTGAAGCCTTTCTTTTTGAAAGCTATTAGAGTAATTCATACCTGCGTCATGACTGTTCCCTCACTAGAGTGGGCATCTGAACCTTTTCTCACAGCCCCACTGATTTCTTTAGCGATGCAACTTAATTGTGAAATAGCATCAGAAATCTTGAGCCAAGTTTTAAAATAAAATCAGAGGTGTCTGTTGCACTGGTGTTGGATCACATAGCAGTAAGCATGTCCTACACCTTTTCAGAGCATGCTTCGCTGTTCAAAACTTCCAAAAGCTTACCCGTGAGAATGCTCAATTTCTGGGCTCAGGCAAAAATAAGGTGTAAAGCTTGTTTGAACAATCAATCAACACTTGTTTCAAGGTATGTACAAGAGGATAGCTTTTAACATTTCATAGAGGGTTGATTAGAGAAAAACATAGCCACAACCCCTGAATTTCCTGCAGAGTTTAAGTACCTCTAGAATGGAGTTGCGGTCCCAGTTCCCAAATCCCTATTCCATTTGAGATCTCAGTGTGTGCGTTCAGAACTCCTCAGAGCTGCTGTGCAATGGCTGCTTGAGCGAGGGGGACATAAAACCATTTCAGCATCTGCTGTTGTGCTTTTGCAGAAGCATTTTAGATCTTGACAGGGCAGAACAGCCTCTGACTCGTTGAAGCCCCATCAGGATACACAAGGTCAGTGTTCCAGCCACAATCTCAAACCATACCTATTCACTCAAAACATAATATGCTCTCTACAGGTTAGAAGAGTCACCCAGCTTGTAAGCAATTTAATCCCCTCTCTGCTGGGGGGAAGGGACAAAACTTAACCTTTCCCTTGCTTCTTAGAAGAGTGCTTTAACCACCACAGGTATGCTGAAACCTGTAGGAAGAAAAGATCTTAATTTCCCCTTTTTTCCCCCAATGGTTTCAATTTGTTTCCTTAAATAACTGCAACAGGGGTTGACCCACAGCAGTGCTGCAGCTGCCTCTAGAGCTTTAGGTTTCTGCCCCAGGAGTCTTGCAGCAGGCCGTAGATCCTGTTATCTTATGGAAAATAAGGATAATTATTATTATCTTATGGAAAATTAGGAAATTATGATGACTATGAAGTATCAGTTCAACTAGACTGGGAGCTTCCTGAAGGACTTAACCTCCTGAAGAGTAGGCATGCCCTGAGTGTAAAGATCTTAGACTTGGATAAGACAGAAGGTGTGTTGTTCCCGATGGGAGGTGAAATTCAAAACTTCTCAAAGAAGGAATTAAGATATATTTGCATGGAACTTGGTAAAAGAATTAACAGCTTTTCTCTCTCTCCCCTCCTGATGACAGACGTCATCACCAGGAGGAGGATCTTTTGATAGGAAAACAGTACAGCAGACAAGTTGCCAAAAGCTCAATAGACGCTTGAGAGTATCAAGCATCAAGTTCAAGTCTCTCCAAGGACAGACCTTTTCACAAAAAAGACCAGGTTGTCTTTGACAGGAATCGAGAGGTTCCACCACAGCAGGATGCCACCCGAGAGGGGCAGCAGGCTGCGACCTCTGACAAACTGCTCTGACAAGGGTCTAGAGAACAGGTCCTGTGAGGAGTGGCTTGAGGGAACTGGGGTTGTTTAGCCTGGAGAAAAGGAGGCTGAGGGGAGACCTTATCGCTCTGTACAACTACCTGAAAGGTTGTAGTGAGGTGGGGGTCGGTCTCTTCTCCCAAGTAACAAGCGATAGGACAAGAGGAAACGGCCTCAAGTTGCACCAGGGAACGTTTAGATTGGACGTTAGGAAAAATTTTTTCACCAAAAGAGCTGTCAAACACTTGAACAGGCTGCCCAGGGAAGTGGTAGAGTCACCATCCCTGGAGGTGTTCAAAAAATGTGTTGATGTAGCACTACTGGACATGGTTTAAAGGGCATGGTGGTGTTAGGCTGACAATTGGACTTGACGATTTTAGAGGTCTATTCCAACCTAATGATTCTATGACAGGTGGGGTGGGAAAGGCATCCTGTGGCAGCCCCAGCACAGCCCACAGCCAGAACCGGGCACGGTCTGAGGCAAGAAGAGGGGGGAGGAGAAAAAGGAACAAAAGAAAAAAAAGAAAACCCCCAAACCACCAACATCACCTTGCAGCAGCGTCAGGGGGAAGCTTGCCCAC